AGAAATTTGCACAAATTTTTATAAACATTCATGTATTTATCTTTAAGAAAAAATATTTATTTTCCCGTTTAAATGGTATTTTTCGTATGTGAACTCTAAATCGTGAATACCATAATCTCAACATCTTAAACATTAAAGGATGTCTTAAATTTTGGTCACAACTCCTAAATCTTTATTTCAAAATTTAAATCCTAGATAATCCGAGATTTCTGAATCTTAACTAGATTCACAATTGGAACCGATCGAAACTAGAATTATTACGGAAATTTTGGAAATCCCAATCCAATCTTTAAGATGTCGGATTGATGGTTCTTGGAAATCTTCGGATCCAACTATGGGTTTAGGATGGTGGTGTTTTCAAGAAAATGATCAAACGATACTGCTTGGTGCAAAGTGCCTCCGGAGATCTCCCTCCCCCCTTCACTCGGAGATGGAAGCTTTAATTTGGGCCATGAAGAATATCCTTTCACGAAGGATTGATTGTCAAGCGTTTGAAACAGATTGCTCAGAGTTAGTATCGATGGTACAATCACCTGAAGAATGGCCCGCCTTCTCCAATCTGCTAGATGCTTTTGGACTGCTCCGTGTCTCCTTTCCCTTATTCTCGCTTTCTCTTATCTCTCGTTTATGTAATGTTAAGGCGGACTGCTTAGCTCGTTCTTCTAGAATTTTATTTTCCGAATTTACTTTTGTAAACACTATTCCTCCTAATTGGGTAACCAATCAAGGAGTTTTTTAATAATTAATGTGTGGTTGACAAAAAAAAAAAAAAACCATCGTTTAAAACTCATAGAAACTTACTATCGCCAAAAATTATCCCAAAATTTTGTCATTCGTCGTATGTATGATGGTGTCAGGGCCGGCCCTGAAATTTTGGGGGCCTAAAAAAATTTAAGGGTTTTATAGTACTTTCTAAAATTGGGGGCCTTTTTACAAAAATAAATAAATCTGGAGGCTTATTTTATAAAGTAAGATATGTCACCCAAAACAATTGTTTCACCTTGCTGTGCTCAGGGACGGCCTTGATGGTGTGTTCGCTAGGAAGATATGTCACCCAAAAAAAAAACGTGAGATGAAGCATATATACTTTCCCAAAAGCATATATAGCCGGCCACTAGATATATCCCTTGTTCAAAGACGCGGCCTCCGCGGCCGCATAATCGGCGACTAGGCGTTCGGCGGTCAGGAGCCGCTGCGATTTCGTCAATTCGGCTAACAAATCGGGAAATGTTAGAAACTTTTATTTTTAGTGAAAATAAAGGTATAAATCAGTTTTTAAAGTATAGATCTATCATATTTGGGTAAAAATCACTAAAAAATACAAGAGAAAACGATAATAGTCGTGAGAAAAAAATGAAAACGGCTGAGATTAGGGTTTGAAGTCGCAGAGAACGATGAAGAAGACGAGGGCATTTTTGTCATTTCACTAAACCAAAAAAAAAAAGAGCCAAAACAAACATATACAGGGTTCGAACCCCGGTTCGTTAGGATTCCTACACGCAACAAGCCACTGGACCAAGTCATTCTTTAAGTTATGTTCCAATATTTAGTTTATATACATATATGTCGATAAAAATACTGAAAATTAATCCCCGATTTAATTCCGATTTCCGATTAATCGCTAGGCCCGTACTCACCGCCCGACTAACGCCTAGCGATATTTTGAACAAGGGATATATCGACATATCGTGTAGCTTTGCTTGCATCTACGTGTGAGAAATCATATATTTTGTTTAGCGAATTATTTACATTTAGTCATTTAGAATCTGCCAGTATAGATTTTTTTGTTCGGTATTCTTGTAAGTTTAGGAGACTACGTGAACGTGAGGAAAGAAAAAGAAAAATTCACAATTCAGATAGTGTCGTTGTCTTTCCACTAGCTAAATTCTATTTCGTTATTTTAATATCATTAGCATCACCTCTATTATGAAACCTCCAAGAATAGAAACCACTAACTTTAATAATTCAAATGTATATTATATATAGATATAGCTACTTTACTAATTAATATTAAATATAACGTGGATGCAATTTATGTGGCACATCAACTCCACAACTATTCCGATATCGTGTCGCATATTATAGTTTTCTATACATAAATAAATGTCATATACACAATAACGTATATATGTAATTAATTATGTATGTGTGTGTGTGGACTCTTGGTCTTTGTCTTCATCTTTCAACTATTTAGGATTCAAAGAGCTCGTTTCTGACGTATCAAAATCTGGAATAATGCGACGATAATCTCTACGTGACTCGATTTTATTTTAACATATATACTTATCAATCCTATTTTATATTTAGAAAAATTAGGCAAGTATCGCATATATACATAGTATGTGGCTACATACTATTTTTGCCTAACTCTTTTGTCCATGTGGCTTCATTACAGCGAGTACTGATATAACGTAGTTAAAATATTAAGTGTAATTAATCGTTGAGAAATAGACAGAGTCACGTATGTTTCTACAAAATTCGATCTAAGTGTGTGAACACCATCTGTTTTCGCAAATTCTTGTAATTGCACATGTTTCTATTACGTTTAATCAATCGAGCTCTAATTCATACAGATCCAATATTCACGACACAGACATATTTAATTCATAAAAATGCTCAAACATTATCAACAAATAAGATATGGTCAACTCTATGTAGTAACACGTAGACTGCTCTTTGTGGCAAATTCATGCGCAAGCAAAGCCTCTAGATGTTTGACAGGTTACTACCCTAATATAGCATCACTAGGCACTAGCTATCTTCTAATCTATTTTAGTTATTTATTCCTTTATTAAATCTTTTTTATTTGATAAAGTGATATAATTTTATTCTCCTTTTTCTTATCAACTACTATACTTGTTCGTTCACATAATTTCGCACTTTGCGGAGTTCTTATTCGTCGTTAAACCCAACAGATTCTTGAATTGCAAGCAACGAGACATTAACATAATGTACTTATATTTAACTATAGTATTATATATAATAACATAAATGTGATTCGATCATTATTCCTTTCAGTACTAATATATTAATCACCATTAATCTATATCTTCCTTCCTGATTATTCGAAGATTTTGTCTATAAACTAGCTATATTGTCCCTATGTATTTTTATTACTTGGATGCTTTTGTTTGTTGGAATATTCGAAATCATTTTTCTTTGCCTGAAATTATGCATATTAGCGCATATATAAAGGTCATATCCGCCAATAATATAGAATCCAAACTTTAAATCCTTTTGTAATTCATTGACTATAATTAGTTTGTTCTAGAGTTTTATCTACTGAAATATTCGAATCCTTAGGACATCAAAAAAGTACTTACGTAGTTAAAAACTCCATTTTAATTTCTTAGTTTTAAACTTGTAATTAATTTGTAAAGTGTCGAAACACCAAAGGGAAGACGAGTCGCATAACTCGTGGTCCTATAAGAGGGATAATCGATCTGATGTCACGCCATGCAAAATGTATCAATCAATTTTCTTCTCACTTTCAAAAAAAAAAAAAAAAAAAAAAAAAAAAAAAAAAAAAAATTACTTCAAAATGATTAAATATTAAGCCACCCAATGAATAAATAGATATTTAACTAAAAATCAAAAATCTCAATTGGAATTTGGAAGCATCACAAATTCACAATCCTGATCCTGTATTCAAAAATCTCACGCAGAAAAAGATAATAAGTCCAAAATATTGGTCTTCATTTTTTTCTGAAAAAAGCTTGATGGGATAGAGAGAGACAGAGAGGAACAGCTAAATTGGATGTGTATGAATTAATAAATACCTTGAACTTGAATACATCAAACTCACTAATTTATTGGTTGGTAATTTCTTTTGTATAACATGAATAACAATTTTAATTGTATTTTTATTGTAATTTATAAGAAAATTAGTTTTTGTTTTCAAAATTTCATAGATATTAGGTGAATCCAGAATTATTTATAAAACTTTGTGTGTGAACATGTCTTAATTTATTAAATACTTGTGCACAAAAAAAATTATTAAATATTTTTCACGTAAAAATAATTTTTATTTTTAGAAGCTATGTTACGAAACTGTATTCAATATTCATAATCCCAGTTTTACAAATTTTTATCCATTTTATGTATTTTTTTTCCTAGGAAAAAAATCCAAAGGAAAAGAAAGGAGATGAGTTGAAATTGTGAGGAGAGGGAGAGTACGTGGCATCATAACTTTGGCGACAGCTAATGTGAAAACAGCCCAAAGCTACGGAGAGCGACAGTCTTCGTCGACGTCTATGTCTCTTTAGATTGTGATTGCATTGTTAATTACCATATCTATCAATTGATTAGTTAAGTATTATCACACAAGTTAATACATTATTTTATACAGTATTTCACTACAAATCTCCCCAAAATCACGTGTTTCATATCATACGTACATTTGTCTACCGTCTTTGTGAACAATATTAAAACACAATATATCAAATTTTCTATTTGAATAGAGTATATTAAAAAATAGAGTATATTATTAGAGTCTCTAATAAATTATGAAAATCCTAATCGATTAAAAATAGTTAATTTGAAACATATCACTCGAAATTAGGGTATTAGTTGGATTGACGACAACTTTCTTATTAAAATCAACAAGAATGTATAAATGATTTATATACTATCAACAAAAAAAAAATTAATTTGTTGGTTACCCAAATTACAAGATTTGTACTCATAGTCACATTATATTCACATGCACAGTTATAACTTTGAACTGATATAGTATGAAATAATAAGAAATTGTTCTGTTTTTTTTAAAAAAATCATATATATATATATATATATATATATATATATATTATATAGTATGTGTACATCCAAAAAATCTTTTTTGAAAAAAACAACTATTTTTGGGATTATAAAGGACACGTAGCCCAATCGATGAACAGAGGACGGCACCGAATCAATTTGACTTCACCTTTTTTCCTCATATGATAAGTGTCTTATCTCTTTCCTATATATACTTCGTACTCCTCTTTAAGGACCCTACGTCTCTCTCTTTCTCTCTAGCTACTCTCTGTTTCTTCATTACTCAATCATTATAGTGTTTTTAAGAAAACTTGACTTCATCAAGTAACAAATAAATCAAAACCGATGGGAAGATCACCATGTTGTGAGAAGAAGAATGGTCTCAAGAAAGGACCATGGACTCCTGAGGAAGATCAAAAGCTCATTGATTATATCAATAAACATGGTTATGGAAATTGGAGAACTCTTCCAAAGAATGCTGGTTAGTATATGTATCTTCATTATTACATTTTAATCTTACTTTTTTATTCATTAGTTTTTTTTCTAAAGTTTTGCTTTTCTTGTTCTTGAATCTTGATCATAGGGTTACAAAGATGTGGTAAGAGTTGTCGTCTCCGATGGACCAACTATCTCCGACCAGATATTAAGCGTGGACGGTTCTCTTTCGAAGAAGAAGAAACCATTATTCAACTTCACAGCATCATGGGAAACAAGTGAGTTTGATTTTTCCCATTTTCCAACATTTTTTCAATTAATTTTAGTATATTTTTGTCATTACGTAGTTTATACGAAAACTACTAATCTTGTAGATTAGTCTTAAGATTTGGATTATGATCTTCAGTTATAAAAACAGCAATATTCAAACTTTCTAATGATGGGATATTGACGTTTCAAATGTTCTACTAGCGATTCGTTGATTATAAGGGGATACCAAAACATTAAATAAAACTATATCTTGAAATAAAAATAGTACATGTTTATGTTAAATCTACAATGCATCAGATTCTAACTTCGTTTGCTTTCGTATAGGTGGTCTGCGATTGCGGCTCGTTTGCCAGGAAGAACAGACAACGAGATCAAAAACTATTGGAACACTCACATCAGAAAAAGACTTCTAAAGATGGGAATCGACCCGGTAACACACACTCCACGTCTTGATCTTCTTGATATCTCCTCCATTCTCAGCTCATCTATCTACAACTCTACGTATCATCATCATCATCAACAAATGAACATGTCGAGGCTCATGATGGGTGATGGTCATCAACAACCATTGGTTAACCCCGAGATACTCAAACTCGCAACCTCTCTCTTTTCAAACCAAAACCACCCCAACAACACACACGACAACCAAACCGAAGTAAACCAATACCAAACCGGTTACAACATGATTGGAAATCAAGAATTACAATCTTGGTTACCTATCATGGATCAGTTCGCGGAGTTCCAAGACCTCATGCCAATGAAAACGACGGTCCAAGATTCACTGCCTTCGTTCCCATCAAATCACGAAGACGACTATTCCAAGTCTAACTCTGTATTAGAACCTTATTACTCGGACTTTGCCTCGGTCTTGACCACACCTTCTTCAAGCCCGACTCCATTGAACTCAAGTTCCACAACTTACATCAATAGTAGCACTTGCAGCACCGAGGATGAAAAAGAGAGTTATTACAGTAATAATGTTATGAGTACTTCTGAAATTGCTGATTATTCGTTTGATGTTAATGGTTTTCTGCAATTCCAAGAAACAAAAAACCATTGGGATAGAGTTATGTAAAAAAAAAAAAATTGTATTTGTTATTTAGATTTTGTTACATATACAATATACTATAGTTTTTAAATATTTATTACTAAAGTATATTCGTCAAAGGGAAAGCAACATCCCACCAGTAAACTATATAAAGCTCACAACATTGTTTTTAATGATGGAGTTTCTATTATTGGTATCTATCTACTCTTTTGTTTAATATTTGTGGTCGGCTTTTCTTCTACATATAAATGCATGGAGAAGATCGTATCAACGATCATATTAAAATTATATGATTCGAAGACATATAATTGATAAAAAGGTGCTGAATGTTACCGAAATAGAAAGGAAGATAAATAGTAATTGATACTGTAGTTAATACTAATATCATTGACTTTTTATCTCTTGTTTCTCTGAAGAAAGAAACTAATGATAATTTATGAGCCAAAACAATATACTAATAACAAACGCTTTGAAATGAAAGATGGGTCCCCTAAGTGATTCCAAAATTTGCTCAATTTCATTTCATTATTTAATAGAACAAATCAAAAGCACGAAAAACTTACTATTTTGATTTTTGACCACCAAAGAAACTCGTACAATGGTCCAGTGGTTTCCACTTGCAGAAGAGCGACTCTGTTGGTCCAGGCCAGGGATCGACTCCCTGCAAGCGCGACACTCTTGGATTTTACCCCATTTGGCCACTGCCACGCCCTTAGCGATGGGATAACGTGAATCCGGTATGTAAGGCCACCAAGACCACATTTGAGGGCAATGCCCAATACGGTGCTAGTCGGGACCACCAGTGGTGGGGCCCGGACAACCTGGTTAAAAAAAAACCTTTAACAAAAAAAAAAAAAGAAACTCGTACAAATTTACTAACCGGAATCCGGCAAGACTGGCCGGCGCGTGAACTAGAAGTACACGTGGTATGGTGGCGGACGTGTGCAAAACCAATGGGTCGATCACGGGAAAGTATCTAATGACCAGACGCCACGATGTACGCGTAAGCAATAATTTCGGAAAACGTAAGGAAAGGGAGTTAAAAGAAAAAGCTCGTTTTAATTGAAATCACGGTTTGTGGTAATTAATCACTTTTTACACGTGGTGTACGGAGAGCTAACTAAGAGTGGGGACGCGTGGGACAAAGCTGCACGTGTAAACACGGACGTCGGCATTTTGTGGGATGAGCTGTTTGTTTTGACCCTTTGTTCGGTTGTTCCAGTGGCTGGCTTTTACTACGTATGAATTCACTTCCATTTTTAAATTTTTTTTTTTTTTTTTTTTTGCTAAAGAATTTTTTTTAATTTTTTTTTAGTATGAGTAATTACATATATATATATAGATATATGTTTTTAATGTTAAGATATTGAAATTAAATAATTACATATCTTGTCAATTTTGAAAGTTTAAGTTGTAACTTTAACCACAACACCCTAAATTGTTGTCTTAAACTCCACCGCAACTTGTTTCGTGGCAAAATTTCTTGCCACATAATAGACAACAAAACATTTTTCTACGTATCAAAAAATCCAATTTTAACCTTTAGAATAGAACTCTGCCCAAAAAAAAAAAAAACTTTAGAGAAGAACAAGACAGAACATATGGAACCCAAAATAAAGCAAGAATGTAAATTCATTTAGGGTCAAAAAAATTAAATAAAGTGATTATTTTTTTTTAAAAATAATAGAGTGATTGTTTCAAAAAGAAAAAGAGACTTAAAAAGTAGAATAACTAAAAAATGAGAAATAATTGACAAAAAGATTGAGAAATAGAAAGAATAAATGTAAATTTATTTATTTGATTTTTATTGTAATTTGATTAAACGAGGTTTTTATTTGTCAGATTAACTATTTAAAATTTATAAATAAATGTATCTTTTTTCAAAACTTCACAGATTCACTAATAAATTTAGTTTAGTTACCTCATATCCACTTTTTTTTAGGTTGCCTTTTTTGTCATTTCAGTTGTTTGATCAAATGTTTTTCTTAATTGGTAATATTCTCTGTCAAACCTACAAAGTCTTTGAGACATGTAAGAACATTGGGCGGTGGCATATGAATCAATTGGACTAAAAAGGCAAATCTTGTTTTACATGATCCCAAAAGTTGTTTTCGTTATTCGTCCCATACGAAAAAAAAACACGTTTTTGTCCTTGATATACACTTGTGGACGTTGTGGTGTGTATTTGTGTGACCAAGATTTTCAATATTATATACATCACAGTGCCAAACTTAATTCAAACACCAAGATTCGTCGTTTATATACGGCTGTATTTTACCATTTCATTTATTTTATATCCAGTTCATATAATATCTACTAAAGATCTATCTTTTCATATATGAAAAACGATTTAATAATTTATAGAAGGCGTTTTATTAGATTTAAGTATTTAACTGAAATGGACCAACTTTACTATACTCATATATAGTGTCTTAGATAATATGCTCATAATGTGGGGAAGAGTTTGAAAACATATCAACATTTTAATCAATAAACCATGAATTGGACCAACAATCCATATTTTTACCATTGCTAGGTATCACTTTATTTGGGTGATTTTATATAGATAGTTATCTTTTGAATTTCTTGTCCAGGAGAAATGTTAATGATCTTAATTGACCAAGTGGGTAACCAAACTAAGATATTTACATATAATAGATTGATTTTAGCAATCAATTTATTTTTGTTCGCCAAAACCGAAAGTGGACTTTATACATACGTTTGATAATTTAGTAATGAGGAAAGAAGCTTCTATAATCACATTCACATGGGTTATAAATGTGGTCCGAACAGAACGTCATTTATATATATGTCATAGTGAGCTATCGCACTTTTTAATTAGTTGGATATATTAGTGTAGAGAAGAAATTACATATTATTCTGTTTAGCTAAAAAAAAGAATATACACTTCAACTATTCCACTAAACGAATGAAACCCTAACTTTGAGTTGACTACATAATTTTAGATCCAACTTTAATCAACAGTAACCACGTTATTGTTTACTAAAATTGGCTTTAAGACGACTTGGTCAACTCAGTTAATATTGGATCTAGCTAAAACAGTTTGATCAACACATATTTGAAGATAATGTAAATTCTGTTAATGAAGTAATTAGTTTTTTTCTTCTTCGTTTTCAAATCGGATAAGGTATATATATGTTTATCTATTCCATACGCATAATCATTAGTGTCATTAATGAGCATATAAAGTCTTCGTTTATCTTTGTATTTAGTCAACATATGCAATTCTAGTTCTTTTAGTTTCAGCTCAACGTCATAACTTTTAAAAGAAGTCAGCTATATATACTTTTAAAAGAAGTCACTTATATATATACTACATAAGTACCCGTGCGATAGAAGCAAACGAAATTTGATTTCAATTCATTTTTTATTATAAGAAGCAAACGAAATTTGATTTCAATTCATTTTTCATTTTTCATATCTTCTAATAACAGAAAAAATTAAAGCCAAATCAAACCGAATTTGTATTAAAAAAAACTGTATAAACCGAATACCCATTGTAAGAGAAAAAAAAAATCGAACAGAACCGTATAATTGTATAATAGCTTGTGAATACTCCATGAAAGGAAATGGTGTTCATGATCCTAGAGAATATTTGCTTCGAATTCACTGAAATAGTTAAAGCTACTTATGATTGGTCCCAAAAAGCCAAAAAGAGGGGACTAGACATAGAACGACATAGTTGACGTAAACATGATCTCGTGTAGTACATAAAGTTGGTGTTTCGCTGCAGTACAGTACACACGAACATCGATCTTTAGTACATTACACAAACTTGGATTATTCTAAAATTATATTTTAGCTAAGAATTGTCTAACAAATAACAATGTTGTTTTTATATTTTTTAGTTACTATCACATGAAAACCAAAGAAAATTTTAGTTTCATTAGTTATAATTTTAAATACGAAAATAGACTCGGAACCTCAAGATATACTATTCTAGTACGATTTGTAAGTAGTACGCAGTAGTACAAACAACAAGCATTGTACTGCTTTTAAACCAACACAAGCATTGTAATGTCAGCTACTCCAAGTATAAAATCATGTTTGTGTTCATTTCTAAGATGATAGAAAAGAGCATGAAGATATTTTTTCCTGGGTTTGAATGAACATCATTGAGTGCAGCGTTGATGTAATTTCGTTTTTTTTTTTCATTGTTGAATGGATTAAAAGAATTTACACCAGCGTTGCGCTCAATTATGTTTTTCTTATTTTCAGGAACACTTAAACAGGTATGTATGATCGCTTAAGTTTTTTTTATCTTCTACCGAGTTATGTAATTTAGAAGAAATTATAAAAAGGTAAGGGTTGACACGAAATCAATCTTGAATTTTTGTGATATATGTGATCCGTTTCATTTAGTCTAGATTGATACATTTTTCGATATATATATGTGTGTTTTGCGACTGAAATAAATGCCGATATAAATTCAAATATATAATTAGGACTAAATGTAGTATCCTACTTTTCTTTTTTTATCTTCTATTTAGTTTTTTTTTTAAAAATTATTTATTGGTTTTACATATTTACTTATTTTCAGTGATTTTACATATGAAAGCAAATTAACCTCCAATTTAACTAAAGTGAACCACTGGTTTTGGAGTGATTAGAACTCAAAAGGCATTCTTCTTACCAATAAGCCATAACCAATCCAAAGCAACTCCGGCAAATATTCCTCCTAACAGAAATATCACCAGCAAGTTCCCTAACGCATTCTGCTCCGGACCCTTCACCAAATCAAAACCCAAGTTTATTTTTTGTTACACTATTAGAACAAATGTGAGATTACTTGCCTTAAACGCAAAGATTGTATTCGTTTGTATTTCCGTTTATATATTCAAACTTACATGGTTTATCTTTCTTAAAAATAAACAATCAAAAATCTAACATATCTATTTAGGAAAAAGGTGAAAATAGATTACCTTGTATCCTTTAGGAGCTATAGTCATAATGCAAACAGTGAGATGTCCATTAGTCAATCCCAAAACAGAAACAAGCATAATCATCCATCCTTGATCACCATATTTCGCAGTGAAGTAGAACGCCGGAATGAGGAGATAACGTGACAAAACCGCACTTGTGATTACTTTTCTATTCTCAACCTTGAGCCATTTCACCAGCGGTGTGTACCTCCCGACCAAATCCCAAAAGTTGTACATAGCAACTAAGACAAGTGCGTACCAAGCGCCTAGCCCATGATGTCCTGTGTTTTCATACAAGAACCCGGGGAAAATAGATAATGTACAAACGTAGATGAGGAATAAATTTACTGCATAGTCTACGTTTTGAATCAACAGCTCTTTTTTGCTTAGCCTTTGATTCTTGGAATCATCATCAGTCTGCAAAGAAGAACCAAGAGGCTAAAGAATGTTTAGGGGTGAAGAATCTTAAGAAAAACAAAAAATCAAGAAAGATAGATTCTTAAGGAATATGAAGTTACCAAGCCTGATTGATTTTGGATACCAGCGGCAGCAAGATCAGCAGAAACAGTTTTGGATCCTTCAGAAGCGGCTTTTCTTCGGTAATACTTAACAATCGGGAGTTTCGGTAACACATAAGTGTATAGCATCACACAGAGTAAATCTATGAATGTGGAGATAGCTAAGAACATCACTGCATGAAAAAAAAAAACTTATAAACACTTTGATATGATTGGAGTTTCTATCGGTTAATTTGAAATCTCCAAAAATATTAACTCACATGCTCCTTTACGTAGACCGTTGTTTGTTTTCTCAAAAGCTGCTTTAGTTATTAGCCTAAGTGCTGATGTTAGCGCACCAGCTACAGCTAAACCTCCCATGAATGACTACAAAGAAGTAGGAAGATGTTTATCTAGTAAATTCCGGTTAATCAAAAACCGGTTAGTCTAAAAGGATATCTTGAATCTTCTATAATGTACAAACCTGAACTAGTTCAGGGCACATCAATGATAAATCACCGATCATTCCTCCTTGAACGGTAGCATCCGCGAGGCCGAAAGAAGCAACGACTGCGCATAAACCGATATAAGGTCCGATTCCACCACGTCCTTTTGTTGCCAAATCCAACTGTTTTTTATTTATTTAATTTCTTGAGTCTATAACTAAAATCCATGTCCATATGAAAGATTAATATAAGATTAAGACTTGAATTAAGAAACTTACAACTATGAGCAAGAATGTGGATATTGTGTATAGAATATAACCGATCAGGTTACGTTTTCGGGTACTGATTTTCGATTCGTGGTATGCGAGAATCACGATTGTTCCAAGCGCAAACGGTTGATATACAAGTGTGAGTACCCTTGAAGGATGATAATGCTACAAGAAACGTAAAGTTTTCAAGTTTATGATATCTTAGACATAACATTAGATAATCTGCTATAGTAATTTTCGAATCTGAGAATAGTCCGAACCGAAACCGAACCGGGAAAACTTTGTAGTAGTAATCTGCTATACTAAGCATACTGTTCCAAGAAACGAGAGATCCAATTCCAAGAATACAGTAAACAACCATTGCTTGATACTTCCCCTGTTTTTTTTTTTTGTTTTTTTTTTCAAATTCAGACATAAACAAAATACTTTTGATTCAAAATTAAGAAAAACAATGAAAGATTTTTGGATCTGATTTTTGGGTTTTGTGGAAACTCACCTGAAGCTTCTCAGGAGCTTGGTGCTCGTATCTATCCGCCATTTTAGAAATTGTTACAGAGAGCTCAAATGAACAATCCTATTTCAAGATTCAAGAATTGGATCAAACACTAGATGATGTTTTGTTGTTGTTGTTGGAACAAAAAGCTATAGATACTTACTTGGAACTTAGCACATGCATGAGGGTCTTGCAGAGTCAACGAGTTTGTTGATTATTTTACGAGTAACGCTTTCATAAAGATTCAAAAGAAGATTCTTAAAACAAGGAGATGAGCGAGTACAATTAATTAGACTTTCTAAACGTTTGACAGCAAATATGAAAGGATATAATAAGACTCAAAAGAAAAAGAAACAGAACCAAATAGTTTGTTCGACTTGCGTTGTTATTTGTTAAGGTTTGTTTTTCATTTTTTTGTTCAGCTGCTTCTTTTTTATCAACTAATTCTTCAATTCAAAATCAAACGATTACAACGACTAATATAGGCACTATCGGATATACCCAATGTGCGAGGCAATTAGCTAGAGCATTAGAGAAAAACAAAGCAATAAAAACAATATACACAAACTCATATGCTAATGTGTGAAAAGAATTGTCGAAACGACCAAATATGAGAAATATCGGAAAAGAGGTAACTCTCAATCCTACTCTTACAATTCGACTTGAAGATAGTCACCTCAACTTGTGACTTTATGACAGATGTTGCAAGAAAATCAGTATAGGAACAATCATTCTTTAAGACCCAATATACATAGCAAATGTAATTAAACATCCTCTGTTTTTAAGGATAAGAACCCTTACAGGTTACAAGCAAAGAATATGAAAGCAAATTAATATCCAATTTAATTAAAATGAACAACTTGTTTTAGAGTGGTTAGAACTCAAAAGGCATTCTTCTTACCAATAAGCCATAACCAATCCAAAGCAACTCCTGCAAATATCCCTCCTAACAGAAATATCACCAGCAAGTTCCCTAATGCATTCTGCTCCGGACCCTTCACCAAATCAAAACCCAAGTTTTTTTTTTGTTACACCATTAGAACAAATGTGAGATTACTTGTCTAAAACGCAAAGATTGTAAATATGAGAGGATACTGTCTAAAACCCAAAGATTGTATTTATTTGTATTTGCAAATTGTAAAACAAATAGATTACCTTATAGCCATTAGGAGCAGTGGTGAGAATGCAAACAGTGAGATGTCCATTAGTCAATCCCAAAACAGAAACAAGCATAATCATCCATCCTTGATCACCATATTTCGCAGTAAAGTAGAAAGCCGGAATGAGGAGATAACGTGATAAAACTGCAATTGTGATTAGTTTTCTATTCTCAATCTTGAGCCATTTCACCAGCGGCGTGTACCTCCCTACCAAATCCCAACAATTGTACATCGCTACTAAGACAAGTGCGTACCAAGCGCCTAGCCCGTGTTGCCCTGTGTTTTCATACAAGAACCCGGGGAAAATGGATAATGTACAAACGTAGATGAGGAATAAATTCACTGCATAGTCTATGTTTTGAATCAACAGCTCTTTGTTGCTTAGCCTTTGATTCTTGGAATCATCATCAGTCTGCATAGAAGAATCAAGAAGCTAAAGAATGTTTAGTGGTAAAGAATCTTTAAAAAAAAAAATCTAGAAAGATACATTCTTGACAACAAAGGGAAGATTCTTGAGGAATATGAAGTTACCAAGTCTGATTGATTTTGGATACCAGCGGCAGCAAGATCAGCAGAAACAGTTTTGGATCCTTCAGAAGCAGCTTTTCTTCGGTAATACTTAACAATCGGGAGTTTTGGGAACACATAAGCGTATAGCATCACGCAGAGAAATTCTATGAATGTGGAGATAGCTAAGAACATCACTGCAGAAAGAAAAAAAACTTATAAACACTTTGATGATTGGAGTTTCTATCGGTTTTCAAAAATTTGAAATCTTCAAAAATATTAACTCACTTGCTCCTTTTCGTAAACCGTCGTTTGTTTTCTCAAAAGCTGCTTTAGTTATTAGCCTAAGTGCTGATGTTAGCGCACCAGCTACAGCCAAACCTCCCATGAATGACTACAAAGAAGTAGGAAGATTTTTATCTAGTAAATTTTGGTTAATCTAAACCGGTTAGTCTAAAAGGATATCTTGTATCTCCTAAAATGTATAACCTGAACTAGTTCAGGGCACATCAATGATAAATCACCAATCATTCCTCCTTGAACGGTAGCATCCGCGAGGCCGAAAGAAGCAACGACTGCGCATAAACCGATATAAGGTCCGATTCCACCATGACCTTTTGTTGCCAAATCCAACTGTTTTTTTATATATTTAAATTCTTGTTTAGATTCTTGAAGCAACAATCAAAATCCATTTCCATATGAAAGATTAATGTAAGAGTAAGACATGGAATAAAAAACACTTACAACTATGAGCAAGAATGTGGATATTGTGAATAGAATGTAACCAATCAGGTTACGTTTTCGGGTATTGATTTTCGATTCGTGGTATGCGAGAATCACGATTGTTCCAAGCGCAAACGGTTGGTATACAAGTGTAAGTACCCTTGAAGGATGATAATCCTACAAAAAACGTCAAAGTTTTCAACAACTAAAACACACAACATCAGATTTCAAAAACCAATTTCGAATCTGAGAATCGTCCGAACCGAAACCGAACCGGGAAAACTTGGTAGTAGTAATCTGCTATAGTAAGCATACTGTTCCAAGAAACGAGAGATCCAATCCCAAGAATACAGCAAACAACCATTGCTTGATACTTCCCCTGTTTTTTCAAAGACATACATAAACACGAATTTGTTTTGTTTTGAAATCAGAAAAACAATGAAAGATTATTGGATCTGAGTTTTGGGTTTTAAAGAAACTCACCTGGAGCTTCTCAGGAGCTTGGTTCTCGTATCTATCGGCCATTTTGGAAATTGTTATAGAGAGCTCAAAAGAACATAAACCCTGTTTCAAGATTCAAGATTGGATCAAACACAAGATGATGCTTTGTTCTTTTTTTGCTGGGGAGCAAATTTAAGAGCTACAGAGATACTTACTTGAACCTTAGCACATGAGGGTTTTCCAGAGTCAACGAGTTTGTTGATTTTTTTTTTTTTTTTCCTCAACGAGTTTGTTGATTTATATTAGGGACGAGCCAAGCTTAGCTTTCATAGAGATTCAAAACAAGATTCTTAAAAAAAGGAGATGAGTGAGTAAAATAATAGACCTTTTCAAGATTTGACAGCAAATATGAAAGGATAAAATAAGACTCAAAAGAAAAAGAAACAAAAATAAAAAGATTAAAGAAATTAAAGAATTCAAAGTGTGAAAGCTTTTTCGTTTCTATTTTTAGTCAACTTGTAGATGATTTAGTATGAAAGCAAAACTTTCTTTTTGTATGAAAGCAAAACTTTCTTCGAGGAAATTCTTTAATCATTAATATCCAAATATCTGTGAGATCGGTCTAAAACGTTGAAATAAAAACTTTGTAAGAAAAACAAAGAAGATAACTAGATAAGAGTCGATCGTTGAAGCTTGGATAAGTGAAGCTTTTATCAAAATAACACTTCACCTCAAATATTTATCAGAACAAAAAAAAAAAACACTACACCTCAACTTGATTATTACGTGTTAGTATTCTCCTCTTCTTTTTTATGGTTGGATTCAGCGGAATTATTGCACACAAGGATTTTGTGATCAATGTTTAGATCGGTTAGCTTTTGAAAGGAAATGAGTCTAAAATTACGCTACATTTTGTATTTGTAAATTATGCGAAAACGACTAAAATCTTAACTAAATTACACTAACCTTTTTTGTTGGGTGAAAAATGGATCGTAACCAAAACTAATTCTCAATGTTTGTAGAAATCTAAAAAACCATTGCCACTTAAAATGATTACACTGATTAAATGGAACATTGAGTTAAATTTCATGATGAAAAGAAGCGTTCTCTAGTCTGCACCAACATGACGAAAGCACTTGGCCATGAACACTTGGTTAATATATAAGACCAAAATTTAAAATCTCTTAAATATAATTTACAAATATCTGATGGAACAATGCTAAATTTTAATGCATAAATCCTAATCAATCAGTAATCAAACAAAAGTGTAGACTGTTAGGTTTTAGTTTCTATTAAAATCTATGATTAAATAAGACCTCTAAAAAAAAAAAAATAAAAAAAATAAATAACACCTCTAAGATTTTAGAAAATAGTTAATGAAATGATCAAATGGGTCTAAATATTACGTCGTAAGTGACAAGAAAAAAAAACAAACTAAAATAGATAAAGCAAATTGTAGAGTTGGACAAGTGAAATTCTATAATTTGCCAATTTGGTGAAGCATCAAAGTAAGACTTCACTTCAAGCTTTTGAAAGTTTACGTGTTAGTATTCTCTTCATCATCTTTTTTTCATGAATAAACAGTTAGGTTCGAGCCTTCGAGGCACCAAGCTTCTTATTTTTCGCCATAAACAGTCAGATTCATTGGAATTAATTGCACAAAAGGATGTTGTGATTTGTGAATCATTGTTGATGATAACTCAGAATGCATTTTTCTTGCCAATAAGCCATAACCAACCCAAAGAAATTCCTAAAACTGCTCCTCCTAAAATAAAAACCACCAGCAAATTGCCTAATGCATTCTTCTCCGGACCCTTCACAAAATACAAAATCAAATTAAATATGCAGGTAGAGGTTGATTGTTATACCCTTTGCTTTTACAATTTCAAAATATAACTCAAGTTTTTTTTACTTATGAATACAAACTATAGGAAGAGTGTTGAGATATATTACCTTGTATCCTTTAGGAGCTATAGTCATAATGCAAACAGTGAGATGTCCAGTAGTTATTCCCAAAATAGAAACTAGCATAATCATCCATCCTTTATCACCATATTTTGCAGTGAAGTAGAATGCGGGAACGAGAAAATAACGGGATAGAACCGTTATCGTTAGTGCTGTTCTATTCTCAACCTTCAACCAATTCAGCAGCGGTGCGTACCTCCCGACCAAATCCCAAAAGTTGTACGTCGTTACTAGGATAAGTGCATACCAATCGCCCAGTCCGTGTTGTCCCGTGTTTTCGTATAAGAATCCAGGAAAAATTGATAATGTCAAAACGTAGATGAGGAATAGATTCACTGCATGGTCTATGTTTTGAAGCAGTAGCTCTTTCTTGCTTAGCCTTTGATTCTTGGAATCATCATCAGTCTGCATAGAAAACTCATGAAGCTAAATAATGTTTAAGAGTGGGAAAAGTTTTAGAAAAAAAGAAAGAATCAAGAAAGATACTCTTGACGAATTTTTTAAAGAAACCAAGAAAGGAAAGATTCTTGAGGAATCTGATGTTACCAAATCTGATTGATTTTGGATACCAGCAGCAGCAAGATCAGCAACAACAGTTTTGGATCCTTCAAAAGCGGCTTTTCTTCGGTAATACTTAACAATCGGGAGTTTCGGGAACACATAAGCGTATAGCATCACGCAGAGGAATTCTATGAATGTTGAGATTGCTAAGAATATCACTGTAAAAAAACAAAGCAAGAAATGAAACTTTAAACACTTTGAAGTGTGAAATTTAAATATATATTGTATTTGAGATTAAGATGTTAAACTCACTTGCTCCTTTTCTTAAACGGTTGTTTGATTTCTCAAAGGCTGCTTTAGTTATTAGCCTAAGCACTGAGGTTAGAGCACCAGCCATACCCGAACCGGCTATATATGACTACAAAGCAAGAAGATTTATCTAAGCTGACTTATTTAAACTGATTCATCTAAACCAAGAGACCTTGAATATGCTAAACTTGATAAACCTGGATGAGTTCAGGGCACATCAAAGATAAATCACCGACCAATCCTCCTTTAACGGTAGCATCGGCGAGGCCAAAAGAAGCAACAATTGCACATAGAACAATATAATGTTCGATTCCACCGTGTCCTTTTGTTGTCAAATCCAACTGTTTTTGAGTTTTTTTAGAGTCTTCAGTCCATAATCAAAATCCAGTTTCATAAGAAAGATTAATGTTGAGATTATAACTTAAATTGATACTTACGACTATGAGCAAGAATGTGGATATTGTGAATAGAATGTAACCGGTCAGGATACGTTTTCTAGTACTGATTTTCGATTCGTGGTATGCGAGAATCATGATTGTTCCAAGCGCGATTGGTTGGTATACAAGTGTGAGTACTCTTGAAGGATGATAATCCTACAAGAAACATAAATTCTTCAACTTTGAAAAAAATTGATAACTAAACAAAAGATCAGATTTTAAAAACCAATTTCGAATCTGAGAATTGACCAAACCAAAATCGAAACCGAACCGGGAAAACTTGGTAGTAGTAATCTGCGATAGTGAGCATACTATTCCAAGAAACGAGAGACCCGATTCCAAGAATACAACAAACAACCATTGCTTGATACTTCCCCTGTTTTTTAATTCATACATACACAAACAAGAACTTGATGAAAAACGATGAAAGATTTCTGACCTGTGTTTTGGGTTTTGTGGATACTTACCTGAAGATTTTCAGGAGCTTGGTTCTCGTATCCATCAGCCATTTTTCAAATAGTTATATATAGAGAGAGCTCAAAAGAACGTATACCCTGTTTCAAGATTCAAGAATTGGATCAAACACAAGATGATGTTCGGTTCTTTTTTTCTTTGTTGGAGCAAAAAGCTACAAATACTTGGAACTTAGCACATGAGGATTTTAAAGAGTCAACGTGTTTGTTGAATTTATTACGTGCAAAACTTTCATGTAGAATCAGAACAAGATTCTTACAACATGGAGATGATTGAGTAAAATTATTATAGATTTTTAAGGTTTGACAGCAAATTTGAGTTGATAAAATAATTAAGACTCAAAAGGTTGGCATACCCGGTCTGGTCTTCGTTTGGCACCTTTTCTTTTATTTCCATTATGTAATCGTCCCTTTACGTCAATTTAATACAGAAAGAAAAAAGTTTGAGAGGACTCAAAAGAAAAAGATTAAAGAATTTAAAGTTTTGAAAGCTTTAGTTTCTTCTATATATGGTCGACTAGAAACAGTGTAATCCGAAAGTAAGACTTTTCCCGGAGAAGTGAGAAAGTTCTTGGGAAAATGGCCAATGCATGCATGAAGTCATCTGTTACGATACATAGATGAACTAATAAGCTGTGCACAAATTGATATATTTACCAAATTAATATATGTAATTCATACATAAATTAACAAATCTTTGTTTAAACCAACATTAAATCTAACGTGTTAGTCAATATCAAATTTACTAGTTTAGATGATAGTCAAAAATAACTAAACGATGTCTTAATTGTTTAGTTTTTTTTTTTTTTTTTTTTTTTGTCAACAGCTTTTAATTAAAATTCAAATGAGTCATTCCTGAGGAATATTGTTTACAAATGTGATATGATGTAGTTCGGTACGAATTTTTCTTGCCAATTGTACTTTTGTTGTTAGTCTATTTATTCATTAGCTAGGTACAGCTTTCTAGACTTCCTACTAACACATTTCCACGTTATACTTCCCAAGCTATTTTCGCAATTAATGAAGTATTATTTTATATTGTTTTAGTGTATCTTATTATATAAAGTATGGTTTTCAAAGTTAGTAACTCATATGATCGAGACATGTGTCAAGTCTATCGATAAGATTTTGACACATGTAATCAATAAAAAAAGATTACAATTACTATTTTCGAAAAAGTATATCAAACGAAAATAATATAGTAAATTACTAATCATAATAATAAAACAATTAAAAGCATTATTCCTTTTTAATAAAGTAAATTACTAATCCTAATAAGAAAACAATTAAAAGCATTGTTCCCTTTGTAATAAAGTAAATTACAAATCCTAATAAGGATATAATTGCAATGACTATTTATTGTAAACATATATTAAAAAGGAAATTATACAACAAAAAAGTGATTAAAGTATATAATTTTGTTATAAAAAGTTTGATGTTTTAAAAGTAGTAATTAATGTAATCACAACACATGTCAATAAGTCCATCATATTTTAAAGCATGTAAACCTTGACAAATTGAATTTTAGATATTGATTCAGAAAAAAATACAATGTCGAATATCATTAAAAAGGTAATCTAAATTAAATAAGTTTAAGAGAATCAATTTTGAAAGTTTAAAGAAAAATATAGTTAAGTAGGAAAAAAACAAAAAAAAACATAATTCAATAGGAATATAACAAACAAAATATTATATGAGTAATTTACTATTTTACAACACATGAAACTAATTAAAAACAAAAAAAAGTGGAGAAATCGGATTCACCAATGAAAATATATAAAATAATATTGCAAATACAAAAGTACACAGCAATTGGACATACTAATTTTATTTTATTATTTTTACTTCTACTATTTTGTGTCCCATTAAATTTTAAAAGAGTAGTGAAAATAATTATGAAAAAGAAACAAAGGAATAAGAACAAATATATATATATGAAAATCAAATTCGTTAAAGTGTTTCGTGTCATCGAATCGTAAGATTTGATATGTGTAGACTATATATTTGCAAACATGTAACAAAAATTAATTGTAAACTATATAATTATAAAAATAAGAGAATCAAAATAAGTAAATAATATCATTTTGTTAAGCTTTTTCATCGGTGGATGATTTGGTAGCGTAATCAATATTATTTTATATATTTATTGGTGGCGTATTCAATATTATTTTATATATTTATATGGATGATTTAACTTCATTTTCAAATTTATATTTCTAATTTGTTTACGGATTTCAAAGTATTATATTATAACCCCGCGTATAAATCTAGTAATACTATATAATACTGTATGTAGTTTATTACTCGATGAGTATGGGAAAAATTAATCCTTTTTGTGTACGATCATTGGGGTGTACTTTTAAGTGGTTTTTTTTGGATTTCTTAAATTTTCCTAATCTTGGAGGCATCCGATTGTTATTTACGACTACGAGTATCTTTATCTTTCTAAATGGGAGGATCCATTTAAATGCAAGTGGGCTTGTATTGTACCCCAAAGTAGGTTATACAGTATCATTAGTGTAAGAAATGTTATTAGTGTACTTCGTATTGATTTAACTTGTTATTTAACGTTTTCTTTGTAAAATAACAAGTTATTAGTGTACTTTAGATAAATATATGTTGGATATAATTCTACATTGAAATGAGATGGCCAGATGGGTCTACAAAAGTCGTAAGTGATGGAAAAAAAACACTACTGAAAAGCTGAAATAGGTAGAGCATTGGCGAAGCTAAACACGTGAAACACAATTTGTCATTTTGGTGAAGTTCAAGACTCAAGTTGATTTGGATTCCAACTTGATTTGGATTCTCCCACACCCATTTGCCACCATAACAGGGCTGGAATCGTCAGAATTAATTGCATAAAGGGATGTTGTGACAGATTTTATATCAGTCTAGTTTTGAAACAACACTTTGTTAAGGTTCGGTTCAATTTTAGCAAAAAAAAGGGTGAGTTTCAAAAGCTAGGATTGATTTCCTACCAATTTTCTACGAGCTTTTTACGAAATATAATTTTTATTTCGTAGGAAATTGGAAGTAATTTTTGTAGGAAAACGGTAGAAAAAGTCTATGTCCTACATATTTTCTACGTTTTTGACTTATAAAATCGGGATTTTTCTTGATTCTCTAGTATAGAAGAACTTTTCAAAATTAACACTTAAAAAGATATATAATAATTATTCCTGATGTGAATGATTCTATAATTGTATCATGTTATCCTGATTTTACACCTAGAAGATTAAACAGGCAATTAGTGGGTGTTCACGATATGTTCTATTCATTTTTCTCGTTTTCATAGTGCAAAGATATTGTGTCGGTGACATCCACTACAGAAGAGAAGCTTTTAACGTCCTTTATTTCGAAGGCTAACGTCAGTTTTTAACCGACGTAAATATAATGACGTCGTTTTCCAAAGTGCAAACGTACAATTTTTCTGCCTACGGCTACAAAGGTCTCGGAGACGCAAAGCAACGGAGAAATCATATCAGTGTCTCAATATTTTGGATTTCATGAATTGAAACAAACTCGTTATACGAGTAGCGTATAAAATATTTGATTCATTAATTTTTTTTTTAATATTAATCTTCTATGGGTTTTATCACTTTATGGTTTTATCAAAACGACGCTAAATTACTTATACACTTACATTTGAAATCAGTTTAGCAAAAGACTTAAGAAAGCCTTAAGAAAAAGAAAAAAAAAAGACTTAAGAAAGCCAACGTCTCCTACCGTATATTTTGTAGTGTTTTTCTTCCTTGGTTAGCTCTTCTGATCTGAGATGAGTTAGGTTTTTGTATGACCTTTTGAATTTTGTATATGTTTACTTGTTTTTGCCTCAAAAAAAGCAAGAAAAAGGGTATGATTAGTAACCTCTTATCACACCGGTAGAGAGTGTACTACTTTAATGGTTACCAATTACGAAAGGATCTTAATTAGCTTGCGTCTCACTACTAGACCAGCAGAAACAAATGATCAGTGATCATGGCAGGTCGCAGTTACGAATTCTCCAAGCTGCGACATCTTTGTTGTACCCTGTTTCGGTTTAGGCTTCCATATTGCTACATTATCGTGATGTTCATGAAGTTGGCAACATGTTAGAGACATTAAGGTTTAAATGATAAGCTACTCGTAATTAGGTAAACTTTTTCACTTTGAAGGTTATCTTGTAAATCTTATACACTTCGAAGAGATAGATACATATATTTAATAGAGATATTTATATGATGCATATTCATTAATTTGATCTTAAAACAAGTTGTGTTAGTGTAATATAGCTTATGAAGTACTTTTATTCTTTAAAAAATTTTGAAAAGCAATTTCATATTGTGAGCCAGACACATTAACATACTTTACTTCTCAAATAATATATAGGGGATAACATAACATTAGATTTTACGAAGAATATAAGAATCCTAAAACCAATAAAAATGTAATGTTGTGAACTATTGCTGATGAGAACTCAGAAGGCATTTTTCTTACCAATAAGCCATAACCAACCCAAAGCACATCCTACAAATGCTCCCCATATTATAAATAGCACCAGCAAATTTCCTAACGCATTCTTCTCCGGGCCCTACATAAAAACAAAGCAAAAAGTTTATACAAAATAAAAATAACTGTATATGTAGAAAGATAACCTGCAGTGATGTATTTTAATAACTTGCTACATTATTAAGTAGAGTAATTATATGGTGTTATTTATATCTATATATAAAACAAATAATACTCTTATGTTTCTTACAAATAAAAATATATATATAGTCATTTACCTAACCTAGTTTCATTAGCTAGTGTTCAATGTTCATGGTCATTTAGTGCAATTACCCTAAATAAAAACGCAATCTCAAAGAAACAATCAAACATGTAGATAGATTACCTTGTATCCTCTAGGAGCTGTGGCAAGAATGCAAACAGTGAAATGTCCATTAGTTAATCCCAAAACAGAAACGAGCAAAATCATCCACCCTTGATCACCATATTTTGCAGTGAAGTAGAACGCCGGAACAAGGAGAAAACGGGTTAAAACCGCAACCGTTAGTCCTTTTCTATTCTCAACCTTTAGCCATTTCACCATCGGTGTGTACCTCCCAACTAAATCCCACCAATTGTACATTGCTATTAGGACAAGCGCATACCACGAGCCTAGCCCGTGTTGTCCCGTGTTCTCGTATAAGAACCCGGGCAAAATGGATAGTGTCAAAACATAGATGAGGAATAGATTCACTACATAGTCTACATTTTGAAGCAATAGTTCTTTGTTGTTTAGCCGTTGATTCTTGGAAACATCATCAGTCTGCATATATAGAAGAATCAAGAATCAAGAAGTTAAACAATTAATGTTTAAGACTCAAAGAGTAGAAATGGGGAACGTTTTAAAAAGAATATGTTAAAATTACCAAATCTGATTGGTTTTGGATACCAGCAGCAGCAAGATCAGCATAAACAGTTTTGGATCCTTCAGAAGCCGCTTTTCTTCGGTAATATTTAACAATTGGAAGTTTCGGGAACACATATGCGTATAGCAGAACACATAGAAACTCTATTAATGTAGAGATAGCTAAAAAGATCACTGCAGGAAGAAATAAAAAGTAAGTAAGACATGAAGTTTTCAACACTTGTAAGTTTAAGCTCACTTGAGATATTCAAAAAATGTTAAACTCACTTGCTCCTTTTCTTAGACCGTCATGTGATTTCTCGAAAGCTGCTTTAGTTATTAGCCTAAATGCTGAAGTTAGAGCACCAGCCACAGCCAAACCGGCTACGAATGACTACAAAGAAGCAAGAAGTTCTATATATACGACAAGCCGATTAATCTAAACCGATATTTTAAATTTGTAAAATGTATAAACCTGAATGAGTTCAGGGCACATCAACGATAAGTCACCAATCATTCCTCCTCGTACAGAAGCATCCGCGAAGCCAAACGAAGCAACGATTGCGCATAAAACAATATAAGGTCCGATCCCACCTTGTCCTTTTGTTGTCAAATCCAACTGTTTGAGTTATAGAATAAGAATTCAGTCTCCAAAAAAATAAACAATAATTTGTGAGCTTGACTTGAACTTACAATGATGAGCAAGAATATGGATATTGTGAATAGAATGTAACCGATCAGGTTACGTTTTCGAGTATTGATTTTTGCTTCATGGTATGAGAAAATCACGATTGTTCCAATCGCAAATGGTTGGTATACGAATGTGAGTACTCTTGAAGGATGGTAATCCTATGAAGACACAAGACATTCAAGTTTTCAACTTAATTTTAGTATAACCAAAACCTTAAGACTTCAAAAAACCAATTTTATTATGAGAAACATGTGAACCAAACCGGGAAAACTTGGTAGTAGTAATCTCCGACACTGAGCAGACTGTTCCAAGAAACGAGAGATCCAATTCCAAGAATACAACAAACAACCATTGCTTGATACTTCCCCTGTTTTTTTTTTTTTTTTTTTTTTTAAAAATTTAGACATAAACAAACAAGAACTTGAGGAAAAACGATGAAAGATTTTCTGATCTGAGTTTTGAGTTTTGTGGATACTTACCTGAAGATTCTCAAGAGCTTGATTCTCGCAACTCTCCACCATTGTTACTCAAATAGTTACGACGTTTGTTTTCGGATGAATGTGAGAGTACTCACTTGGAAACTTAGTATATGATCTTGAAGTGTCAAGGTATTTGTGGATTTATGATCTTGAAGAATAAACGCGTTTGTTGATTCTTGATTCTAGTGCAAAGCTTCAAGATTGACGTAGTAGAATGTTAGAATAAGACTCAATTATATTGTGTTAAATGCTACAATGTTAAAATAAGACTCACAAGTCACAATTGTTTATCAAAAAAAAAGTCACAAGTGTTAAATCGTCACATTGTTTTGTTTTTGATCAATAAATTGTCAGCATATTTGTTTATTTAGATTTTTTTTCCCTAAAATCCCTTGAATTTATTGACAATTGGTTATGAGTTGGAGAATTGTCAATTCACATTAAACAAAACAAACATAAGAATCCAAAGTCTGGAAGCTTTGAGTTTCTATTTCTGGTCATCTGGAAATAATTTTGTATGAAAACAAAAACGTTCCTGATAAAATTCATTACTGTTACGACCACATACCTACTATTTCAGACTTTGCTAATTTGAATTAATTGTACGTTTAGTCAAAGATTTCTAAATCATAATATACATTTTGGAGATGAACCCCTTTTTTTTAACATTAAACCCTCTTGTTTAATCCTTTGCAGTACCATTATGTTCTTCATTATATCTTTTTTTTTTTAACTATATATGAATACTTTTGCAATTGGATTCACCCCGGGTCTGAATCCCAACATGTAACTTTTGGTCCTTAATTTAGTTCGACCTCGTACTGCTACCACGATACAATAAACAGAGTTAAACATGATCGAATTAGACCTTTACATATTACATCTACAAGGAATAAATCGATTTTTGCGGTGAATAAACAACAACAAAACAAAAAACGAAATTTAATCTTCAATTATATGAATCATTGATGCTCATAATTCAGTTTCTTTTTTGTGGTCAAGAGTTTTTATTCATAACTCAAAAGGCATTCTTCTTACCAATAAGCCATAACCAATCCAAGGCAACTCCTGCAAATATCCCTCCTAACAGAAATATCACCAGCAAGTTCCCTAACGCATTCTGCTCCGGACCCTTCACCAAATCAAAACCCAAGTTTTTTTTTTGTTATACTATTAGAACAAATGTGAGATTACTTTGTCTTAAACGCAAAGATTGTATTCGTTTGTATTTGCAAATTGTAAAACAAATAGATTACCTTATAGCCATTAGGAGCTGTGGTGAGAATGCAAACAGTGAGATGTCCATTAGTCAATCCCAAAACAGAAACAAGCATAATCATCCATCCTTGATCACCATATTTCGCAGTGAAGTAGAACGTCGGAATGAGGAAAAACCGCAACAAAACCGCATCTGTGAGTCCTTTTCTTTTCTCAATCTTGAGCCATTTCACCAGCGGTGTGTACATTCCGACCAAACCCCAACAATTGTACATCGCTACGAGGATAAGCGCGTACCATGTTCCTAGTCCATGTTGTCCCGTGTTCTCATATAAGAATCCGGGAACAATGGATAATGTCAAAACGTAGAGGAGGAATAGATTCACTGCATAGTCTATGTTCTGACGCAAAAGCTCTTTGTTGCTTAGCATCTCCAATGGTGAGAACCCTTCATGGGGTTCTCACCATTTTTTAAGTTTAATTTTTGCTTTTATCATACTTAAGAACTTGAATTGGAGTCTTTAAGTTTTGTCTTCTCCAATGGTGGAGTTCTTAAGGAAAAATTTTAATTTTGTAAAACAATACATATATGTTTTTGTTTACAATACATATTTGATTTTACTCGGTACAAGACATTGAAAATGTACAATCAATCAAGAGAGTACTAGAAACATTACAACCAATGAACACCATTGCGCAGAGACATTAAAGTAGTTGCACAAGCTTGACGTTACACCATTGCCCACTCCACCAACAAGCCTTCTAATTCTAAATGTTGAGTTAAGACCAGCATTACGCCTTGCTATGACAACGCCTTTTACGATTGATAAACGTCTCTTGTTCTCAGGCACTTCCTGTTCAAACAAAGTAAATGGCAAGCCTATGATAGGTTTCATAAAGAAGATTAAAGATAGCTTGATACCATTCCCACAAGAAAAAGAAATTACAATCTAGGCAAACTATAATCCCATCAAAAACAATGAAAACGTATCACCACATATATCAATACAAAAGGAACAAAGTCACAAACGTATCACCACATATATCAGTTGATACAACAAAAACATTCAATTCATGACATTTTACATTGTAATTATTCAAATACCTGACTTGGGCAATAAAAGATTGCACAATGTAAGAAGAACATGAAACGGATCTATCTACTGCAACAATTCAATTCACCACCACAAAACTAGCAAAATATACTCATTAGGAATGATAATTCAGAAAATTTACATAATTTACATAAGGTTAAGCTTCTGGATTTCCTGGGGAAAAGGACTAGATTCATACCATTAGAAACAAACTGGAGCTTCCTTCATCGATTACTCTCTGATTCGCAAGTTATGGATCTCCGATTTGCTTAATCTCCCATTACCGATGGTGAGCAGCGGCTCTAGAGATGACGAATCCGGCCGAACGCACACTCATACACCATAATTTCTTCCATAAATCTACCATCAATCGCCAAAATCGTCGGACAAAATCTCGTGTTAGCCATCGCCGCTCTCGCCAAAAGAGAGAAAGAGAGATTGTCGGGAAAAATAAATGGAAGAAGAGTGAAACATGTTTTTTTTGGTTAAAAATCGTCCACCACTAAAAAAGTGACACATGTGCGTCTCTCTTGATTTCCCAAAACCCTCTGCAGAGAACCAGCTCTCTCCTCAATTATGTTTTCTGATTTAATTTTAATCAATTTTAATCAGTTTTAAGCAGAGAGACTTAGAAGAGAGCTCCCATTGGAGCTGCTCTTAGTCTTTGATTCTTGGAATCATCATCAATCTGCATAGAAGAAAGAAGAATCTAGAAGCTTAAAAATATTTAAGAGTCGCATATGTTCTTTTAAAAGAATCATGAAATGTAATTTTAGAGTAAAGGAAAAAATAAAGATGAAGAGATTTGAGATAACACTATTATCTTAAAACTAATTGGATTAGAGTGGAGAGGTTCATATCCTCTATATAATAGTGTTTATATAATAGTGTTAAATCATCTCAATGTAGGATATTTTTACACGCCCACTTAAGATGATGCCTTTGTTGGCTTATTTCTCTTGGGCCAATGCCATGTTTTTTGCTTTGTTTGAGTTTACTACTCTTTATCACCATGCATGTGAATTTTATAGTGTTCTAAGCCAAAATCAATTGGTAATGAATGGAAAATTTTATATTCTTTATATACTAGTATTGAATCATCTCCAAATTCAATATGGGATGTTCTACCACATATGTTAAAGAAAAATATATTCTTGTGGAATGTGATTTATACGAGGGTTTTGGGTGTTACCGATTCTGATTGCTTTTGAATACCAGCAGCAACAAGATCCGCTAAAACGGTCTTGGATCCTTCATAAGCGGCTTTACTTCGGTAGTACTTAACAATGGGAAGTTTTGGAAACACATAAGCGTATAAAATCACGCATAGTAACTCTATGAATGTTGCGATTGCTAAGAAAATAACTGCAGAAAGAAAGAAACAAAAAAAGGCAAGAAAGAAATGAAGCCATCAATTTTCGGATTTGAGATCTTCAAAAAAAAAAAAAAGAATAACTCACTTGCTCCTTTTCGTAGACCATCATCTCGAATGCTGCTTTAGTTATTAGCCTAATTGCTGATGTTAGAGCACCATCTATAGCCAAACCGGCCACGAATGACTAGAGAGAAGCAAGAAGATATATAATCTAAACCGGTTTATCCAAACCGGAGAAACAAAACCGATATCTCTAATTTGTAAAATGAATAAAACCTGGATGAGTTCAGGGCACATCAGCGATAAGTCTCCAATCATTCCTCCTCGTACAGTAGCATCTGCTAGTCCAAATAAAGCAACAATTGCGCATAAACCAATGTACGGTACGATCCCACCGTGCCCTTTTGTTGCCAAATCCAACTGTTTCAAGTTTTTTGAGTCAAAATCCATAATTAGAATCCGGTTTCTGAAGATTTGTATAAGACTAGACTTGGACATACCACGATGAGCAATTGTTGAAAAAATGCTAAGACTTTCAAATAAGCTGCGTCATAATTTTTTAGGTATAGCATTGTAATAGATATAATAGATTAAGATCAAAAAAAGATTTATAACAGATTATAAATCTTTTCTCGTCATATCATACAAAACAAAACCTTAGTAAACTGCGACATCATGAAAAAATATCCCCTTTGGTCAATTTCTTCTTTTCGTTATTATTTAATCGAACTAAAACGTCATCCAAATTTAAATTGCAATCAAACTACAGAGACATTATTTTATTTAACAATAAAACTACAGTGACTTCAAATTAGTTTTAGCGGAAATAATGATTAGTACTAATAAAATTTGATCGCCTGTCGTAATAACCAACTCAGCTCAATGTCATATGCGAAGAACTGCTGATTATATCTTATTTCTTTTCTGTCGCTAGATTAATTATATAATAAAGTCAGGAATTTTGTTTTCATTCTTTAGTTTTTTTGTGCCGACGTGAGGAACCTTGTGGAAATTAAAAGGATATTTTACTTACAGTTTTTAATTATACTTATCTTAGAATCATTAAATCACAATATATATTATATCTTTTGTGGAGTCAAATGTATATGGTGAATGATTAGGAGCATCTAACTTCTGGCTGATAGCTATTTGACGGCTGCGATGCGTCTGTCATATAAAATGGAATAACGGCCAGTAGTTCTCTCATAGACCGCTATTATTTTGGTCAAACAGATTGATCGTAAGAGAATATAATAGTTGTATTTTCTTTGGATCAAACTTAGCATTTCATTAAAAAGAGAAGTTTAATCTCCATTAAAGAAGGATACATCAAGGTCACAAAGAGCCGAACCAACCATCACAACGACTACCAAAGTAATCGCGTAAGAGAGAAAACTAAAACTAGCAACAAAACCTCAAATAGAGACCTAGGGATAAGGCCATCACGAGTTCACCCAAGCAGAATCTAAACAAAAACCATCGATAAAATTAGCCATCTTCAAATCGGTCCGAAACCTATAAAGCCAAACAATCAACAATTGCTGAACGTGAAATGCCTTAGCTTGACCAACAATCATCGCATTTCGCTTCGATTATTGCTTTGTTTTTGCAACACTCATGATTACAAATCTTCCATTGTAATCAACTATAACGTTTTATGAAGATGGATTCAGTCGACTCTTTTACACTCTTAAAATTTTGCCTAATTAAACCTTTGATTTGAGCATTGATTATTTGAATCGTTTAGTTATTGCTATGCAATGCTCACCATTACGGATTTTCCATTTTAATCTAATAATGTATCGCCTAATGAAGCTGGATTTAGTCGATATATATACTCTCAATTTGGTTGATCTTTTTTGGTAATTTTGTTTAGGTAAGATTTTTTCTTTCCAATAATTGAAATTTGAGAAGAATTAGGGGTGTTATTGGTTTCGAATTTACAAAGAATTTTGATGATTAATAAAATCATAAAAAGTAAATAAATGAAAGATTCTAAACTATTGCTAGAGATTTTTCTATAATTTTGTTGATTAGTTTTTTCATAATCTTGTAAAGTTTCCCAAACAATCTCTCTATTTTTTATAATACTTTTCATGACTTTATTTTGTGAAGAAAAGTGTAGAAAGTCATTAACTAATAACATAATAATTTAATTTATTAACAATCATAGATTCTTTTGTTTTAGTTGAATATGGTTACTCCTTTAATACTCTCCGTTTGGTTTAATTATTCAATGAAATTTGGTTTTGACAAAAAAAAATTTTTAATGACTTTATAAAAGTATGAATCTAATAATTCTAGATTTATGAAGATTTTAGATTATTTTGTATAAATCTTAAATTAATAACATCAAACTTTAACTAAAAATCTTGATTGAATAACGATATATTCTACTTTACATTTAAAGTCACTAAAAGTCTAAAACTCTATATAAATCACAAACAAGTAACACCCTCTTAGTATATATTTATCTGTATCTCATTTAAGCAAAATTACCATTTAAGCAAATCGGTAATATTCTGGTTAATAAATGACACTAATGACTGAGTGTGAGTGGTGATAAATGATAATATTAATTCGGTAATATTCTCACGTTTTTAAATTATATGAAAAAATTCAAACGGTTAAACCCGGTTAACTACATGAGAAATAAAATCATGCTGTGATAATGCGGTCCATGACAGTCACGTATCTCTAACATATCCTCTTCGCGAACATTCACCTTTAATAATTTATATGGTCGTTGTAATCGAATCAAAAAACAAAAACACAAAAATCCCCAAATTACCAAAATCCTCGGCGACAAAGAGGAGAGAGAGAGAGAGAAAAAAATGGCTTCGATCCTTCCGCCGGAGCTGGACAACGACTCACTAGCATCATCGCCGAGATCGGAGTACGATAGTCAGCCACGTGTACGGTTCATGTGTACTTTCGGAGGAAGGATCTTGCCACGTCCGCCGGATAATCAGCTCTGTTACGTCGGCGGTGATAATCGTATGGTCGCTGTTCATCGTCATACTACTTTTGCTTCTCTCCTTAGTAAACTTGCTAAACTCTCCGGTAAGTTAATCATCATTCCTAATCTTCAAAAGTGATTAGGGATTTTAGTTGGATAATTTTGAATTTCGATCCTGAATTATTTCGTAGGAACATTTTGTTAGGCCAACTAGGAAAAAAAAAGATATGATGAATGAATTATTTGGTTTATTTTTTAAGATTTTCTTGCAGCTTTATTGATATTATGAAATTAATTTCTTTGGAAATTGGACAGATGTTTATTGGCCACAAAAGTCTGGCATATTGCGGGAAAGTATTCATTAAATTTATAAATTAAATAAGAGTAGATTTTTTTTTTAATATTTCGTTTTTGCACGATCCTGAAATTATCGAATCGGAATATTTGATCCAATTCGATACGTTTAAAAGAAAATTGGGTTTAGAAGAAGTTATGGCGATCACTATCAGATAGACAGATACCATAATTCGAAATTGGATCAAAATCATATGATCTTTTTTTGTTTTTTTGTCAACCATGAATTATTGGTTTTTTTTTTTCATCAAATTATTGGTTTATTTAAAACATTTTTGATGTTTTTTTTTAATATTTGTCAAACTTATTGTTGGAAATTGGGCAGATATTTATTGGCCACAAGATTTTGGAATTTTGCGGGAAAGTATTCATTCAATTTATATAAAAATATTTGATTTGGGAAAAATAATGATGATTGTTGCGTTGGAATATTTGGATAAGGTAAAAGCAACATAAGCGTGAAGTACCAGCTACCAAACGAAGATCTTGACGCGTTGATTTCCGTATCAACGGACGAAGATGTAGAGAACATGATGGATGAATACGATCGCGTCGCACAGAATCAAAACCCACGCGCCTCTCGTCTTCGTCTCTTTCTCTTCACCAAAAACCTCGCCGGAGAAGAAGATAACGATAGTCGAGCTAGCAGTATCAGTTCTCTCCTCGATAGCTCCGTTAATCGAGAGCAGTGGTTCCTCGATGCTCTTAATCTCGGTTCTTCCGCCGCCGCAACCGCAGCTTCTAACGGCGGGTCCGGTAGAGTTTTCGAGCGCGTTAGATCTGAAGTCTCGTCGATTGTTTCTGAAGTTCCTGATTATCTCTTTGGATTGGATAATTTTGATGAAACTGCTCCGCCGCATGAGCTTCGTGATCGTGATCCGAGAGCTAAGATTCAACGAGAAGTCTCGACGCTTTCGGATCCTGGTTCGCCACGTCGCGATGTTCCTTCGCCGTATGGTTCGACGTCTTCGGCTCCTGTGATGCGAACATCTACACCGGAACTTCCACCACCGGTTTTAACTAAACCGGAAAGTCCAGAACCGGTTTCGACTCCTAAATCCGATTCTCAACCGGAACAAGTAATTCAACAGAGTAATCTCCCGGTTAACTCGCAATGGCAATACGCCCCCGGCCCAGGCCCACAGGTTCATTACCAGGGTCATACCATTCACCAATCACCGGTTTATTACGTTCCTGGTTCTGTTCCGGGTAATCATATGGTTCAACCGGGAAATCATATGGTTCAACCGGGTAATCATATGGTACAACCAGTTCAAATGCAGGGTCAGTATCTTCAACAATACCATCATGTACCAATGGGATACCACCAACCTCAGACTCATCAGATGGCTGGTCCGGGTCAAATGTATGGTGGAACGGTTAGGCCGGTTATGATGGCAGTTGATGGAATGAACCGGACGGGTTATTATGGAATGAAAACACCCGGTCCGGTTCAAATGTATCATCATCACCCTGGTATGGTTGTTCCTGGCGTAGAAGAACAACAAAAATACAGAACCGAAACGGATTCGGATCCGGGTCGGGCTTCTTAGCTGGTTGAAGAAACATGAGAAATAATCACATCCGGGGTTTTCGTCTTTTCATTGGAGTCGTACTTATTCGTTACTGTGTGAACTGTATAATATTTTCTGTCTTTTTTTTCTTTTCAAATTTTCTTTTTATGTGTAATTTTGTATTACAAATTATGATGAACAGTAAAATCCAATAATAACATTATAATCTATCAATAATTAAGTACATTTTGGTATACTTTAATTGCCATCTTGTTACTCGATTTACCATAATAATAGTGGAATATGCAGAGTTCGAATACAAAAATGTTAAAAACTAAAATTAAAAAAAATATATATATGTCGCCGACTTTCGCTGCTACCAGAGTCATGAATTCTGCATTTTAGTTTGCGTATCATATGTTTGCCTTCGTCTTTGCTGGTAACTTACAAGGGATGTCTAGAAACCACACCAAATTTTTGATCTCACATATGACATTGACATATATGATATATGTTGGTGAAGTTTTAGTGGATTGCTTCAGATTTGTACAATTTCTTCTATTCCAAGATTGTCGATGCAAGATATTACCTTAACGAAAACAAAAGACTATGCATTCACGCTTACGATAAAGCTTTTTAACTAAAACCATCTAAAAACCACTACAAGGTGGGCTAGTGGTAGGACGGATTTCGTGGTTGAGGGGGTAATCCCAATACGCCCGGGTTCGATTCCTTCTTGCTACATACTAGTGGTCACCAAGGAATTTACATGCGGATTTGCTCTGGCGCCCGAGACCGAAGACTGTTACCTGGCCATGACCCACCCTCGGGTGTGCGTCCATGCCGTAAGGGTTCGGTCTCTAGTCTGGACCACCTCGGTGGGGCCAGGACATTCGGTCTATAGTCTGGACCACCTCGGTGGGGCCAGGACACTCGGTTATCAAAAAAAAAAAAAAAAAAAAAAAAAAAAAAAAAAACCATCTAAACACATCCTCCCTTTTTTTTTCCTTTTTGTTGTTACATTTAAGTTTTTCTTTATGTTCGCATGTTTTACTATTCTTTTAAGGGTATCTATACCTAGTAACCACAGAAGAATCGATAATTAACTGACACATTTCTACACTTTTTGGCAGTTACTGTACATGTGGAAAAGACAGCTCCATCCTTCACTATAATTAAACTATTTATTTTTAATTTTTTCTTTTTTTTTTCTTCCTTTCTTCTTCTCTTCACGATTATGTGCAGACCAAAATCAAATTTATTTGGGTTTCGATTTATGTGAATACCAAAATCAAAATTGTGGTAGATTCTGTGATTTATAGATGGTAATGGTGATGATGATACCGATGGCGATAGATGATGATGATACCGGTTGCGATAGATGATGATGATACCGACAATGATAATTTTATCGGCGGTGGCCATAGTTGAGATATCGGTGGTAGTTCAGTGATTTACAGGTGGTGGTGGTGATGATGATATCGGTGATGATGGGTGATGATGATATCGACAGTGATAATTTTACAAGCGGTGGTCATAACGTCGGAGAGAGTCCGGCGGCTAAAGGATTCATGGTGGATTGAATGGATCGAGCTGCGGAGTCCAAGACCTTGACGGAATTTGCCAATTAGAGATTTGATGAGATTAATCGATCAAGATAGGAGAATGGGTTGTCGACGACAACAACCATTGTTACTTTCTTCTGGGTTCAATTTCATAAACGGATAACAATTTCATTAGCAACGTATACAAAATGCTAACATATCTTAAACGCAACAATTATGTTATCATGATAAATGAATACGCTAATGTATAAGTTAACGGAAATAATTAAATTACTAAAGAAAATAAACCGGTTAATACATAAGTTAGCTGATATAATCATATAATAAATGTTTTAACGCGATAAATATTAGTTTACCATGTAACTTGTAAACTTATCGCGATATAATATGATTTATCGAAAATTGAGTCGTAATCAAAAATTTGACCTAAGCTATTATCTGAAATTTATGTCTCGTCGATATCTATTTTGTTATAACGTTAAACAATTTGTTACATGCGGAGGGGTATTTTCGTCCAACTTATACAAGTTGATGAGAGAGAATTAATTATACAAAAAACATGTATATATTCTTAATTTTTCAGTCATCTGTGTATTTAGATTTAATTGACCCTTCTTTTAAAACATGTTATTTGCTTAATTGTCCCTACCTAGTTTTACCAAAATCACAATTTTTATATTTAGCTATCATACTATATTACTATTCGTAACATACATGACAAAAAAAAATTTTGTACCATTTAATCTTATCTATTAATTTGTGAACCACCTAACTACATGCATAATTAATTATTTTATTTTCTCTATTAAAATTACGAAATGGTTTCGTCATTGTGAATTATTTTTCCAGTTGACTATTCCGAAAGCAATCATAGAGCTCTTCTTTCTTTTTCTATTTTTAACATCGCAATCATAGAGTAATTAAGTTTGACATTCATATATATATATATATGTGACTTATGATTAATAATTAATTAAGAGACTAAATTAAAATACTAATAACATTTTAGACTAAATGCAACGTTTTTACGTGAAGTAATCAGAAACCAGAAATAGTCGTCTTCATCTTCCTCACACGTACACTCTCGTCCTTATCCTCATTTCCTCGGAGATCGGAAAATATGGAAAAATCCGGCTATGGCAGAGACGGAATTTACCGATCACTACGTCCATCGCTGGTTCTTCCCAAAGATCCAAACACATCGTTAGTCTCTTTCCTCTTCCGTAATTCCTCATCTTACCCATCAAAGCTTGCTATCGCCGATTCCGATTCCGGCGACTCCTTAACCTTCTCTCAGCTCAAATCCGCCGTCGCTAGACTCGCTCACGGATTTCACCGTCTTGGTATTCGTAAAAACGATGTCGTGTTGATCTTCGCTCCGAATTCTTACCAATTCCCTCTCTGTTTCCTCGCCGTAACTGCAATCGGCGGCGTTTTCACTACCGCGAATCCTCTTTACACTGTGAGTGAGGTTTCGAAACAGATCAAAGACTCGAATCCGAAGATTATCATCTCTGTTAATCAACTGTTCGATAAAATCAAGGGCTTTGATCTTCCCGTTGTTCTACTTGGATCTAAAGATTCCGTACAGATTCCTCCGGGATCGAATTCGAAGATTCTCAGTTTCAATGACGTGATGGAGCTCTCAGAGCCAGTTTCTGATTACCCTTTCGTTGAGATCAAGCAATCAGATACTGCTGCATTGTTGTATTCATCAGGAACTACAGGAACAAGCAAAGGTGTTGAATTGACTCATGGGAATTTCATTGCAGCTTCGTTGATGGTGACGATGGATCAAGATCTTATGGGAGAGTATCATGGCGTGTTCTTGTGTTTTCTACCAATGTTTCATGTTTTTGGTTTGACTGTGATTACTTATTCTCAGCTACAGAGAGGGAATGCTTTGGTTTCAATGGCGAAATTTGAGCTTGAGTTGGTGCTTCAGAATATTGAGAAGTTTAGAGTTACTCATCTTTGGGTTGTTCCTCCTGTGTTCCTTGCTCTTTCCAAGCAGAGTATTGTGAAAAAGTTTGATCTTTCTTCACTTAAGTACATTGGATCAGGAGCTGCTCCTCTTGGGAAAGATTTGATGGAGGAGTGTGGAAAAAACATCCCTAATGTTTTGCTTATGCAGGTAAAAGAAAACACTTGGTTTCAGATCCTGTTCGTGGTCTTTTGGAAGTCATTATCCTTAGGTCTGAGTTTCTGGTAGATGTAGATGTTAGGTGATTACTCGATGTTTGCTCGTAAATAACTGGCCAGAATGTATAAGATTCACGCAATTTTTCTGTTCTGTTCGTAGCAGATTTTGAATCCATTGTCATGAATGATGCAAAAAGAGGTGTTTTGTGATTTCTTCAGGGATATGGAATGACTGAAACGTGTGGAATTGTGTCTGTGGAAGACCCGAGACTCGGGAAACGGAACTCTGGTTCAGCTGGAATGCTTGCTCCAGGTGTTGAAGCTCAGATAGTTAGTGTAGAAACTGGAAAATCCCAGCCTCCAAATCAACAAGGCGAGATCTGGGTTCGAGGGCCAAACATGATGAAAGGTTTGAAAATTTTCCGTTCCTGTGTTTATTTATAACCTTTCATATCTGTGTATTTGATAACCATGTAAACTGATTCTCTTTCAGGGTATCTCAATAACCCTCAGGCTACTAAAGAAACAATAGATAAAAAAGGTTGGGTACATACCGGAGATCTTGGATACTTCAACGAAGATGGTAACCTTTATGTTGTTGATCGACTCAAAGAACTTATCAAATACAAAGGCTTCCAGGTTTCACTTCCCAATTCTCTCATTCCATACTTTTCAAACCGCGAAAATTGAAAATAGGTGAAATCATAATGAATGGTTTGAATATATCTAGGTTGCTCCAGCTGAGCTAGAAGGTCTTCTTGTATCGCATCCTGAAATACTAGATGCTGTCGTTATCCCGTGAGTCATATATTCACAATTCAATACATCAGAAAGATACCAAGTTGATTTCATGTCCAAACTAACATGTGTGTATGTTGCAGATTCCCTGACGAAGAAGCAGGTGAAGTTCCAATTGCGTTTGTCGTTCGATCACCAAATAGCTCAATAACAGAGCAAGATATTCAAAAGTTCATAGCCAAACAGGTTAATAACTTATGACCCAAGTCGTTCGAATCAATCGTATATCGATATGTTTCTTTTCTTAGGCTCAAAACCATCGTTTTGATTTCATCAGGTCGCTCCTTACAAAAGATTACGACGAGTGAGCTTCATCAACACTGTTCCAAAATCTGCTGCTGGTAAAATCTTGAGAAGAGAACTTGTTCAGCAAGTAAGATCCAAGATGTGAAGAATCACGGAGACCGGAGATCAGAATCTGTGTCTTGCCTCTTTCCTTTCACCATATTTATGTACCATTTCAAATTAAACGGTCACACAAACCACAAAAGTGAATAAATAATCCAATACCATAGTCAATACACTTTTTCTTTCATTTGTTTTGGATACAAACAAGCCATAAGTTCTTTTTATCGTTATTTCAGAAGTCGCAATAAACTCTATTTATTATCTTTTTCATTTTCTTAAGTAGCAATAAAATTTATTGTTAACATTATGTGTGTATGTATCTAAACTTGAGAGAAAATAAAACTAGATAATTCGATATGTTAAACGTTTGGTTGACGTTAAGCGAGTTTCTCTCTAGTATGACTTGGGAGTTATTGTACCAATGGACACAAAGAAGCTATTTTTGGTATTAAGTATTTCTTGTTAAAACCACACATTCTCTTATCTCCAAACGTGAAATAGCTAGTAAAGTACACAACATTACTTTGCAGTTTGCTAAATATCTACCAACTGAAAAAGTCAATTATTTGGGACTCAATTGTTTCAAACGTAATGTTCATGCAGGGGTTGGCTCCGAGTTCAAGCTGGAAAAGTTGAGCTTGGAGCCTCAAATTCTTTTATCATCTAATATTATTTAAAAAAGTTGGTAAAGGGTTTGTAGGTGGAAAGTTTGATATGCCCCATATATAAAACCTTTTTTCTAGTTTTTGATAATAATTTTATAATTTATGGGTTAAATACTATTTTATTTGGAATCCACATATATTCAAGGCCGGCTCTACGATTATCTAATTTGTATTTCGATGAGAAATTTTCATTTACAAAGGAATTAAACATTTTCAGGTTTTTATGATTTATTTTGCAAAATGCAAATGCAAACCTTCGGTTTAGTTTGACATTTTTACGTTTATAATTAACGAATTTATTTTGCTTAAAATAGTAGGTTCATTTAGAAAGGAAAAAAAAAAGTAAACCCAAACAAACAATATATGATTTTGAAGTATTACAGGACATTTACATTTCTGTATAAAAAAGGGATATAAAACTTTACAAGGTCCCCTGTTTGTGGAAGATAACTTTTTTTTGGGTGTATGTATATATCTAATTTATAAGTTTACACAGAATGGAAGATTCCAGAAATCAGATGTACGTTCATCTCTGCAGCCGAAGCCGCGGCTGCAGCCACCGGATATGAAGCTGAGATCGGCATTAGACATAGTCCACGGCTTGCGAGATCTACATGTGTTCTTGGACTACATTCTTCTTCTTCTTCTTGAGTATTCATAGATTTCTTGTCTGAACACTATTAATTATAATCAATTCAAGAATCATTAATTGGTGATGATTAGTTTTTGAAAAGATTCTTGATATCACAAGCAAAAGGACAAGGATAAGAGTTGTTAACATATAACTAATTTTAAGTACCTGCTGTTGTTGAACAGATCCTATGGTGTTCTCGTCTGGATTACTCAATACCTATTTATTATTAAAACAAAATAAAAAATAATCAAACTACAAGTTAATTAATAGATTTTATTTTGACTGCAAATGAAAATCAAGAATCTGAACTTACAGTGACTTGTTCTTGAAGAAACTTTATGTACTCTACAGCTTCATTGAGAACAGAAGCTGTATCTGTCTGCAAACAGATCAGAAGACAAATCTTTTGAGCTTTTAATAAGAAAAAAACAAAGATTAAAACTGCGCAAAAAAACTCGAATGATATTCTTTTAATTTACCTTGCCAAATGGTGAAACCAGTTGCTGAAGCGCAGTGATTCTATCTCCGAGTTTTTCCTTACGAACTTTGAAGCTTGGCAATGGAGATAGTGTTTCGAGTCTCTGTCTTTTTAGTAATCGCGGTGAATATTCGTCGCTGTTCTCTTCTAATTCTTCAGTCCTTTCGCTCCCCTGAAAGAGTCATCACATATTTTGTTATGTTCAATACCTCTAAATAATTTTAGTCAAAAACAAAACTAGTTATGTTTTTATGTTTGTTACGTGCCTTTGAAGTAAAATTCTTGCACTCTTGTGTAATCTGCTCCTTAGAGTTATGGTTTCTGATTTCTTGATCCAAGAATGATTCAGCTTCTGTATCGATCAAGAACATGTTATCTAAGAATGGGAAGCTTTCAAGGAGCTCGGATTTCGCATTAGGAACTGTAATCTTCGGCCAAGAATCCGGTAGTAATTGCTCGTTAGGATCGAATAATCCTTCAAAGAAACTATTATGCCTACAAGAAATATAAAAGAAAGAAAATAGATTAAAGAAAGATCAATATTATTTTGTATATTAATGTTGTATGCATGTGGACTTACATGTTAATAAAACCATCATTAGGATCGTTAATCTTGTTATCGAAGTTTTGCCATCCGAAATTTGTGACATCAAGGCTAATCTCAGTGGAACGTGGCAGCGAGTAGCCAGAGAATATTGTGGCGGTGTTTGTTGGTGAACTCCACCAAGCTCCGGTGGAGATTCCGGCGATCTCAAACTCTTCCGTCATGTATTATTGTAGTTTGGTTTGTTTACTTTTGAAATGTTGAAGTTGCATGAGACATGATGTTGATTACATATTGTATTTATATGTAGGCATGAATCCATCAAAATTAAAATTTAAACGGAATAATATAATTGTTAAATAATATATCTAGCTACCCTAACCATATGTCTAACTCTTGATGATTATGAAAAAAGCGTATCTAATTGGACTTATTCGTGTGTTCGTGTTGACGTTAAATGATATGATAAGAAAATCTGTTTATTAAAAATCATTTGCAAATACTAAATACAGAAAGTATATATTAATATTTGCAATACATGTTTGAAAAAAATTAAAGTATATATTATACTGAATTTATTTTAAATGTAAGAATATTGTAACACAAGTAAACACGAATGAAAATATTTCTTTCGCAAACAATCAGAAATATATATTTGGTCTTGAATCACTAAACTAAATGTCCACGTTGAACAAGTTTTATTGTTTAATAAAAGCACGAATAGCTACTTTTTTGGAATGATTTGAAAATATTGATGTTTGAAGGAATTAGATGAAGCAAAAAGGAGTTTATATTTGGATTTTAGTAAAAGGTTGTCTTTAAAACTTGGTTAGGTAATTTCTATTTATTTGGTTTTCTTCAAATTTTCATTTTATTTTCTTTAATGTGCATAAATTAATCACATTATATTGGACTACAGATAAATACCGATTTGAAGTATAAACAAAAAACTTTATATATGATGTGTTCTTCAATACTTCAACTACTAGATAACAACCCGCACGATGTGCGGGATGAAGTGATTCAAGTAAAATTATTATGATTAAAATTATTATCCGGGATCCAAGACCCGTTTGTGTAAAACGAAACATGTTACAATTTTTTTTTGTTTTATTCAAATTTGGGACTATTTCATATAAGAATATGTTTTACCCGTGAAATATTTGAACCTTGAATAAAGCTTCAACGTGATAAAAAAGTATTGACGAAATGTTACCATTTATGGCAATATGTCTTTCCGTATGTTTTAAAGATTTCGAGATTTTGTAGTATAAAAGGATTTTTTTTTTAATAAGTATAAGAAATCCAAAATTTAGCAAAGATGAGATTTGATAGTTTCCAAGCAAAGATTTTGTAGTGTTCCAAATCTGCGATTCTTAGATTATGAATGGACTATTTACGAAATGGTTATAATGTGGCCAGATTTTGGTTTATATACAAATGTGGTTATAATGTTTTTCTTCGAAAAGTTAGAATTCCTCAAAAAAATAGGATTTTAAGTATTCGTAACATATATAGAAAGGAGATTATCTTATTTATTTAAGTAAAAAATTTATGAAAGATGTAAAGATTTTGTAGTTTTGAATTCGAGATTCTTGAACCAAATGTATATATTTTATCATTTAAATATAAACATAAATATAAATATAAATAAAAAGATTGTTTATCCATCCGCTAAAGAAAATTTATATAAATGTATATAAAAAAATATAAATATAAAAATATAGTAATATAAGATAAACAAAAAGTGTATGTTTTTAATTATTAATGGGATATATGGATGTATGAGACTAATGGCAAATTCTGTAAATAGTCTAATAAATCTTGGGTAATTATCTAAATAGAAGCCAAATCATTGTGAGAGCGACACATCAGCATGGCAATCTTGTTAATAACACATGATGGTAAGGTTTTTTAAAAAAAATGTTTCTCTATTAATATATAGGGGATATATCGTAGACTTGGATATTGACCCTTATTTCACAAAACATTTTTTTCTGTGATGAGAGAAAGGAATTTAGAAGTTTTAAAAACCAGCCGCGAACAGTTTGGTATGGTGTTAATAAATGTATCAAAAAGGACAGAAAAGTTGATTCGAAATAAATGAATAAAAAATCAATAAGTCAAATGTTGCATGCAAGTACAATTAATTAATAGGTAAATACGTTTTGTGTGGATTAAGTCATACCACCCAATCGAATTCTCTTGGGTTTTAGGGTTTGTCTTCATTTTTACTTTGGAAATGTTCCCAAATCTTCTTTTAATATACATACAATATATGCTCATGTCATCTGATTTGACTCCTTAACCACAACTCCACTATTAGTTAATTGAAATATTTGGTTAACTTATCTAATCTCATATTTTATCATTATATGTATATCTAGATTTTCTTTTTTTCTTTTTAATAATAATCAGCTTTGCCTTTGCGGTCTAAGTCAATTTGGCTTCGAGCTAAACATGTCTAACTACTTAACTATAAGTTTTTCCTGTTAAAGTAAGACTTAGTTATAAATTCTTGACTTTGCCGTTTAGTTTAAATTCCATATACTATCCATCTCATCATTTTTTTTTAAATCATGTCATCAAATTGTAGTTGTAGAGTTTAAGTAGGATTTTATCATATTTAGAAATCTTGTGTATTTTTGGTGTGTTAAGTGTCTAACTGTCTATATAGAGATCAAAGTAAATTTGGATGTGACTTCCGTTTGATAGAATCTTTAATTAAGAAGCAAAATTTCAGTCAGCTATATATGTGACGTTTTAACCTTAAGAGTACATATTAAAACTTGTTTAGTTGACTTTTAGGACATGACAATTAAACGACCATGGTCTAACCTCCTCATATCTTAAAATATTAATTTGTTATATCATTGTTTATAATTTAAAATCTAAAGTTAAGATTATCTCGTGGAGTGGGAAGAGAACTTAGAAAAAGTGAATCGATTAACAAGAAGAAGAAAAAAAAGTTAGAAAAGTGTTAATGGTTCTCGGCCTTTGACCTAATCACAAGTATAATTATTATCTTCACGGTCTATTTTAAAATATATTGTTTCATAATAAATTTTAAATTATATTGTTCGTTATGGTGAAAATATATATATATATATATATATATATATATATATATATATATATATATATATATATATTGTTAGTTATTTTTGTCATTCATAAATATTTTCATTTTAGGGAATTAATTGCATAAAAATACAATGATTAATAAAAAAAAGTTGAGAAATTGAGCTACCAAAAAGAAACTTAATTTCAATTTTTTATTTAAAACCATCATCGACAAGGTGTGTTACGAATATAGTGTTTTGCTAAAGAGTCAGCCAATATATATTTTGGTTAAATCTTGAAACTGAAATTACTATATGTGTGCTAGATCTATACGTTTGTATGATGAGAGAGTGTAACGAGTTCGTATGTGCATAAAGTAAATGAGACACAAGAGATTTGTTAACGGGGTTCGGTTAACCTACATCCCCGGGACCAAGTCCAGAAACCATTCACTAGAAAAGGCCGCAACCTACAATTGCTATATGGCATCCACCACTCTTTTCTAGAATTACAATGAACGAAAACTACTACTCCTATTGTCTTTTCCGACGAGTATAGCTTCTCAACAAAACCATCAAAAGATCTCTCTATCTTGTTGATGGGGCAACGTCACACACACATGTGTGCCTCTCTCGATAAACCCTAGACGCGCAAGTCTTCATGTTGCCGTCTCTTGGTATTTATATCAAGTGCCAAAAACCCTAGACAACTTAAGCCACGCTTCAAGTCTCTACAAGCAATTGGGCTTAACTTGAACAATGGCCCACGACCAACGTGGCCGTAACATAACATTATGAAAGACTAAATCTCGTTATGATCTTTCGTTCCAACAGCTTCACACCTGTTCCAACAATATCTGCACTTTCAATCTCTCCCTTTTTGACTGAGTTTTACAGCTCAAGCTCTCCATGTTAAGCACGCATACCCATCAATAATCATGATATGAAAGCTCTCCCTTAATCCTATATCATCGTGCTAATGTCTGTTCACGGAACTTTCTCAATCTCCCCCTGCTTGAGTGATAAAACTCTGTTAAAACATTAAGTGCAGGATGAGCTTAGTTATACCTGTTTGGGCATAGTCCACTATCAGAAACGCCTTCCCCCTTTGAGGTCTACAGTGATTTTCATCCTCCCAAAGCTTATAGCACAAGAACCTCCAAATCAAAAAGATCCACGTCTGATGTAGATTACCAATCTTTGCTTTCTAACTTGTTAGTTCCATCCATAATGCTTAGTCTTTATCAGCAACATAATCAATGGCTTTAAAGCACTACTCATCATAATCAAGCATCAAATGAATCAGTACAAACCAAAGTTGCTCCTTGGATTAATATCTTCACGTTTCTCTTCAATTGCAAATCTCACCTGCTTCATTGACAACCAAAATCAACACCAATAAAGAATCTTTACATCGAATCGTCCATATGAGTAAGCTACACGGCGTATAATACTCCCCCTACACCACTGCATCACTTTCTCTCCCTGCTTGGATGCTGCTCCTTCGTAGAAAAATCACAGACTCTATGTATAAACTAACGCGCAACTATTTCAGACCTCTGTTTCAACTACCCTGTTTTCTCACTTGATTTTTACATCTCACTCATACATAACCAGTATCTCTCCCTGATTGAGTAGGTAAAATTCTGTGAAACACTTACTTTTCTCCACTTGCTTCTGTGCAAAAAAATTCTTGTAATACATAGAGTTTGTCAGAAGAATCCATCTTGAAAACCAACAACTCAGATTCTTCCAGCGAACACATAAGCTCATGTCATAAGTCAAACTTAACTGCTTCATTTCATTTTCATTGAGACTTCTCTGCGTCTGTCTGAACTAAGATAAATTTCTATAGACCTTGATCACAACCCTTGAATTACCAGCAAATTTTGCCATGATCCAACAGTTCATTTGCAGCAAACCTTGCTCCCCCAACAAGCTTCATTCTCTTTTAGTCCAATACATTGCAACAACAACATGTCTCCCGGACAGCCATTTTTTGAAGTTGAGTCTAGAACCAGGTCTGAAGTCAGAACACTTCTGTAAAACTTCCATACAATTCTTTCTCAGCGCAGCGGAAAAATACGAGAAGCCTTCAAAAACATGCATACTCGTGTAGAAGAGAAAGACGAATGATGTTGAATTCATGACCATTAATTAAAGCTGAACTTGATACCTCTTTTAAGCAGCGATGAAACCTGAGCTCT